AAAAAAATAGTATTTTCTTGTGTAGTAACTATTGCTGCAATAATTAGAAGACTGTCTGGGCAGAGTGTGAGAAAGCTGGATGTATTTTGCACCACATGCTTCTGTTTTGGTCAGCACTTACGCCTTCTTGCCACAGATAGAACCTTTGTACCAGTTCCTACATGTGCTGAAGTACTTCTTCTTGGTTCCCAGGACCTGCTGCAGAGCACACATGTTGGGCCTGGGGGAGCAGATATGGGTAAGAGAGGCAGAGTGAGGAGGCAGAAATACGAAAAGGGAAAAGAGGTTATAAAAGGCTTGCTAATGTTTAATATCAAATTTTCAGGGGTCAATTTACAAATACCCCCGAATATATATATTCAGGCTGCCCTGACTATAGCAATTTATGTTCCATTTTCATGGAAACACATTCACGTGAACATGCACAAATCATCAGTTATCCAAAGAACTAGAGTTAGGGTCAGGGTTTTTCCCATAACAAGGGGTCTTCCCTCTCTCATCCCTTCTCCTTACCCTTCTTTCCTGGCTCGTATGCGGCTGTGGGTGACTATCTTGTCATAGGCTGAAGAATCCACACTTGCAAGAGAGCAGAGTGCCAGCACTACCAAAGCCCCCACCGATAACTGATGCATCCTGAAAAGTTATCCGTCCTCTTTATCTGAAGGCCCTTAACACACTTCCTTTTAAATGCATGCACATATACACAAACACAGGCTCAAACTCCTTCCAAAAACACCACAATGGATATACAGTGCACACATGTGAGGGGAGGCTTTTATACCAACAACCCTCTTTATCCAACACACCCACTTTCTCTTTTCCTCTTCCCTCTGTGTTTTACATATCATGACGCCCTGCTCTTACCCACACACAACCTTCTCAGTCAAAATTCTTCCTCCTGCTCAGACTCCAATACAATGTTATTGTCTCCTCCTTTCTTATACCACCATCACATCCCAGAGCACCAAGCAATCCCTGTGATTCAGACCTTTTTCACTATAACAACGGCTTGTCTATCAGCTGTACTTTCAATGGTCTTAAAAACACCTTTTACTAAAATGTGACACTTAGGTTGTGATTAACTGTTTGGATAGTTTAAATTATTAATAGACCATGGTCATATTTAAACAAAAATGTTTAATAATCCTGCAGAATCATATATATTTTTTAACACATACTTCCTGGGTTGGTCATTTTCTTCTCTTTCTGTTTATAGTGTAGATTCATCATCTTTGCTTTTATTTCCACCCCTGAACTCTGGTGTGTCATAATATTCTCTCTTCATCCTCCTTACTGTCATTGTCATTGTTCATTAGGTCAACACTTTCCACACTCACAATTTTTCCCTGTAAGCAACTCCATCTCCCATGCTGAAGCCAGATTGGTTACACCTTGTAAAGGAATTTAAATCCACAATCAAACAGTCTCTCTGGACATGAACATTCTTAACTTCCAAAAAATGCATGCATGGTGAACTGTGGACATGTAGGTCAGGACATATAATGTCGATTCACTGAATTCTGAGGTGATTTTATTCAGGTACTCTACAATCTTCAACACAACTTTATAACATTGTGTTGACGCTTTGACTTTTAAAACAAAGCTTTTTTTTTTTAACCAAAAGAAGCATTTAGAAGTCAATTTTTATGTTTATTTTCTCATTAATAAAACGATTGATCCCTTTTTTAATATGTGTAGAAAAAAAGAACTCCATTATTATCTAAAATGTAATAAGTCACTCAGTTCATCTGAAGTCCCACGACATCCACAACCTAAGAGATGACACCAGCTCACACAGAGCTCTTCCCTGAGGAGATCGTTTCCTGTCTGATGTTTTTTAAGCAGAAAAACACGTTACAAACCAATGAAATAATAGAAGCGGAATACAGCTTCAAGTAATTCATGTCATCTTGCCTCATCTTTCTGGATTATGCTCAAGGTTTTATGGAGAGTATTAAAGAAAAAAACTTCAGAATATTCAAAAGCTCAGTTCTGGTCTAGTTTCATTAGATGAGCAGATACGTTGGGACACAATAATATTTGGACACACAAATTCCAGTGGTATTCAAGCTGTCTTTAGTGTTCTAAATGCATCTATTATATCTGCTTTTTGTGACCTGTTAAATGCTCTAACAGGATTCCCGCTGTTGCAGTATCCTCATCTCTGCACAGACTTTGAGTGGCAGGGGAGCTGAGATCTGGCATGCTTGCAGAGGAGGAAATCTCAAAGAGCTGCACAAGAGATGCAGCATCTCCCCCTAGTGGGTGTAACCTGTGACTACAAACATGACTGTTTCCCCAGATAGTGTTTTCCAAAAAGACAAACTTATTATGTTTGAGGACTGAGTGAAAACAAGTTGTTTTTTGGGGCTTTTGCTAGTCTGTAATATGTTTTATGAAGTGAGATTTTAATCAAATGTATAAATTAATCTATAAACTTAACACTGTTTTTGTGTGAAAATGTGTGAAATATATTTTCCTTTATTGTCAAAAGTAATAGACACTGAATAATACCTTTATATGCAAAAAATTATAATTTTGAATATTGTGGCAATATTTTCACGCATAAACAAAAACATTTCTGTCAAAGTTTTAGACAAATCCCATTTTCAGATTTTAAAGGCAACTGTGTAAGTTGCATTCAAGCTAAATAACTCTGGAATCACAGACTACTGTTAAATGGTATATTTTGGGTGTGAGAAAACACAACAGTTTGTGTCATTCATAGCCAAGTGCCTCTGACTTTTGTAACAGTCTGGCTCAGTGCAGAGTGATCCATCACAGACACAGGGACATCTAAGCATCTAAGCTCTCTTGATCCCGCAAAGAGCAAAGTTTCATCATCAGATGAATATTTGATGTCCTCTTCACTCACTGATGTAAATTCAGGTTACTAAGATCCAAAAATAAAAAAAATAATCAACAAACAAATAAACTGCTTAACTGAAACGAGTCTTTGGGGAACACACACAGCAGCCAAGGCAATTTGACCATAATATTTCAAGCGTTTTTGGCTTTTAACAAGCACCAGCACAACGTTTTGAAGCTAGAACCTGAGATTTCTTCTCAACTCCCAAAGGGCAATCTCCATTGCTTTGAAATTCTGTCAGCCTCCAAAGAATCCTCAAAACCACAATTTTCTGCCATAAAGAGATGCAATGGGGTGACGCCATAAAGGCTATGTCTATACTCTGTTAAGTGGTCAGGACTTACATAGAAACTTCTCTCAATTTAAGAAAGCAAGTGAGAATGCAAGCAAAAATAGTCTGTAAAATGGATTACATGACAAAGACAGTGGAGAGGCTTACAGAGTTTACCTGCACCGAATGAGTCTTTACTCACATCATACTTTTCTAAATATTGTAATGAAAATTCCAAATATAACAATGTATTTACAACCGTATGTGGAAAAGCAAAATACAGGGCAGACAAATAATTAGCACAATTCTATCGAGTTGAAAGTCGAGATTTGGTATATTTTTGTAATCGACTTTCAGGAAGATCCCAGGCATCGTGAAGGAAACTTCAAAGATCTTCTCTCACAAGCTGATTCCCAACTGCTTATTTAATGTTGGCTCTATAGGATGCCATGGCACTGTTTCTTCTGTTCTGTTCTTGTGCCATATTGAGACACTGCAGGCTTTTCTGCCTTTCCCTTCCTTTCCCTTTTGTCCTCTGCTTGTTAAGTTTCCTCATTACTTTGGGATGCACTGCACAATGTTCTTGACAAGGATGACCTTTTGGATCATTTCATTTTGAAAGACGGAAACCTTGTCTATGTGGTCACTTCTGTTTGGTGAAGACATCCACAAAGGTCCTTTGCTATAGAGATGTTTTTTATGTGTAACTGATTGATTGGTCAATTTTTAATAATAACTTTTCTGAAAATGAAAAACAACTTTGAAACCTTATGAATTCCTTGTGGAAGACAGGATCAGTTTAAAGATTTAAAAGAACATGTGGCTCCTAGGAAACAAAAATATTGACAGTACTAAACATTTTCCCATTTAGTAAAAGGCTGTGGTTGCAAATCTTAAGAAGTTTGTGCTGGCAGTCAAACAACAAATAGAGTTTTCTGGAGGGGGTTATTCACAAACAAGAACCAGAAAAATGGAAAAGCCGTTTAAAGAGTATAATTTCACGTTTATTCCTCAGATTTGCTTATGATGCAATTACTTCAGACTAACATTACATCTTTTCAGTTCTGAAGAAAATGACATCAATCTTCTGCACAAGTGACTAAACATGAGCTGTGTGTGGGCTGGAATGGTGACAGGTTGTATTCATATTGTGTGTCCACCAAAGGTCAGCCACAGTCATGAACTGCCGGAGCTTAATGTACAGTCGAACTCGTAAGAATGATGAAAATCGCAATCCAAAGTTTTTGCATAGAAAAACATTGACAGGATTATTGTTGCATGAAGACAGCTCGACACATCTTTGAGGGACATAATGTCATTTTAAAGTGTGTAAAGTGCAGAAACAGGCCATGTAAGGCAGAAAGTCAGGTCACAACACATCTATTGCTCTACTGAGATAAGGATGGAGGAATTAAAAAGTTGAAGAGATAAATGGGAAAGGGAAATAAGTATAAAGATTGGTCAAGGAGAGGATTAACAACAGGGATAGAAATGCACATGTCAGATAAGGGTGAAGGGAAGGAAAGTTGATTTAAAAAGAATGATTGATTATGGGATTCATCATTTTCCAATCTTCTGTCACAAAGAGATAAGATTAAATGATCTTATCCTACAATGTTAATCATTGCCAAGTTTACACAGAATTCCAGTCACTTTTGCTGCATTTCTCTGCTGATTTAAATCACTTAAACCAAAGGCCTCCCTGAGTCTTCCGAGATGAAACCTTGTTGGGATAACATTTAGCTCTAAAGCTCTTATTGATTGTCCATCAGTCTCTCCGTCTCATAGTTATCTCAACACATCATCACGTTTTATTTATCTTTTCTGGCTGATCCTGACAAACATCCATCTCCTACCGAATCAGTATTACTTTTTAACTCATCAGTTTGTTTTTCTCTATGTTTGTCAGAGCTGCTGCTGATTTCTGACTCTTCTGTACTTCCTTGAGACTCCTCCATAAAACTGATCCCGGGCAGTTGTTTATCCCCCTTGTCTGTGGATGAAAGCTGCTTGTCCTGTTCCTCTGTATCCGAGACCCCAGACTCTCCGGCCTCTTCTGATAATGAGTACATCTCTCTGGACATCTCCCCAGTTTCTGGTGGGACTTCTTTGGTGCTCCACTGTTGTTTCTGGAACAATCCAGAATTACTAATATCTTTGCAGTAGCTTCTCCACTGGTTTGAGGTTTCACTGCAGCTGTCATCTGAGACCGGGGGGATGAGTCCATTTGGTATACCGTTGAAAGCGTCGGGGGGCCTGGGAGACGCTGCAGAGCTGCTCTGCTTCAGGATAGAAGCAGTGACCTTAAATCGGTTGAGTTTGCTTTTGATGTGGCTGCTCTGAGGGCAGGAGGAAATCTTGAGCAAGGAATTTGGGAAGGCGAGACTGGAATCCGCTGAGCTACCACTTGCCATGGCACCCTGAAGAGAAGGCTTCCCTGTCTTCATCATGCCCATCACCTCATAACGGAAGCTGGAGATGTCCTGCTTCAGCTCCTATGGAAGCAGAGGAAAGACAGCTCTTATGGAAATGAGCGAAGAGAGAGATTTGGAATACTTTACACTGCAGTGATGAAGACATTTCTGAAAATATGATGGACTTTGGTTATATGCTGGAAGAATGAAAACACAGATGCCAAATAAAAATTCAAATAAAAAATTCCTTCTATAATTTTGGTCTCCATGTTAAAGCAACCCTTTCCCAAAATATTGTATATGTTTTTTTCACATACTGTCTCTTCAACAAGATGAATTGCTAAATCTTTCTGTAGCTTAAATATCTTAAAAGCCACAGCTGCTCTGAACACAAATGAGAGCTGTAAGAGAGGAAAAAAAAAAGAATAAAGTTGTGGGTCAGAAACCAGTGAGCTGAAAACCGCCTTAAACTGTAGCAGACTCGGGGGATTATCTTAAGTGGATTTGGCACCTCCAGTGCTGTGTTGGAAGCTGTTTGATCTGCTATAAATAGGAGTACTCGAACAATTCTGTTTTAAGTAACTTATTCTTTGCTCTGTGGAACCTGAGCCTACCTTGAAATTTTCCTCAGTCAGACCTTCCTCTGTCTTGGCATCTCTGATCATGGCAGCCACATAACGTTTCACCAGGTTCCTTAAAACTTCCTATGTAGGTTTAAAAAGATATCAACTTTTTTAACAGATGGAAATGTTTCAGTCAGACAAGAATAAGATAACATAGATCTTCATGCACACACAAAAACAAATTGAATTTGTTTGATAAAGTCACACACCACAATAGCATTGTAACACCAAACATTTTTAGCCTACCTTAATTAAATACTATTTACCTGATATTGATGGTTTATTCTCAGGTTCTCAGCTGCTCTTCTCTACAGGCATCAGGTGAATTCGGATTAAGAAAGGAAATAGAGCAGGAGATTAGTGATGGAAACTCACTAGTCATTACACCTAATATTTTTTCTTCCAGCAACAGTTTAAATATGCTACTTAATATTGCAATGTTTTGTCTAATGTGACATATGAGAAAGATAAATAGAATCTCAGCATTTAAATTGTAACTCTTAAATTGATGAATCACTTATCTCAATGGCTGAGCTGGTTCTACTGCAATGACCACCAAAATCATGTTTTAAAATGAAGGAAAAGAGACTAATCTCATAGTAAATAGTAAATAAATGCCTCAACCAACTTACTCCAAGAGTTCCAAATGTTTCGCGGCGCTTGGATTGTGTCCTTTTGCATGCTTGTCTCTTTATCCAGCATATGAGGTACCAGAAAGACTTGGGGCTCGGGACGATGTTGAAGGGGGCTGGGAGTGTTGCCCCTTCCTCAAAGTAACTCATCCACAGCTTTGTCCTAGCAAACTTCCACTCGATGTCAGCATGATCCTGCAACCAGAATCAACGTACACTTAAAAAGCATGTAGTGTGGTGCGTGTCTCACATTACATACTTCAAATGAATGCAAAGCCATGGATAAGTGCTTACAGCAATGTGCTGGTAGGAGTTGTTCATCATGGCTATGAGCATGTTGAGAAGCACCACCAGTGAAATAATATTGTAGGTGCCGAACATGGTGGCACCTACAAACTCAGTGAACTGATGGTCTGCATCCACATTAGTCACATAGAGGCTAATCAGCCCAAAGATAGACCAGAAAAGAGACTGTAGAGTCTCAAATAATCTGCAGAAGAAGGACAAACTGTAAATGAGACTATTAAAAGGATGTACACATTGCAAGAAGGTAAAGGCAGTAGACTGTTACACTTGATGATAATTTTGTTTAAAGCTGAAGGGAATTCACTCTTCACAATAAGGAGATCCTGCTAAAAAATACCAGTTTCTATTAGCAACAGAGTTTTCACGCATTTTGCAATCTTTGGCAGAAATACACAGACATGGCTCTCTCTCTATTTCAAACTCTGTTTCACAACCTCACACATTTTACACATGCTAACTAGACAAACTCACGTGGAGAAAGCGTTATTCTGCTCAACACAGCGGATGCCCTTGCATTTTCCCTTCTCATCTGAAGCTTTTGTCTCATAATAAAAATACAATTGGTTCAGCCCATTTGCGAAGGCAAGTAGAACCTGGAGACAATGGAGAAAGCAGCGTATAAAAAAGTGTCAAATGTTACAACATCTGAATATTTACAGTGCACTTCCCTTGTGTGCAAATATTTTTTAAACTAATGTACCAGACAGTAAATGAAGAGAAACTTTAGGATATCCAGGAGCATCCGTCCAAGAGAGATTTGCAATGGCCCCAGATGGGAATTTGCTGTGAAGAGTGAGATGAGGCGCAGGGAACTGAAAATGTTTGCTATGGCAAACACTGCCTCAGCTACTAGAGTGGGGTGCCACATTTCCCATTGGTTCCTGGGTTTACTGCCACTGTACTGTATGCGGACAAGAGTAGATAGCAGATTTAGTGGAAAATACACTGATGTCATCCTGTACCTCCTTTTGCCCCTTAAAAAACAAATAGTTACCTTGGTGTAGGCTACAATCTTGAGGGAAATAGTGGCCAGGTACAGGGAGTTCATGACAAAGTCCATCAGGTTCCACCAGTCATGGACGTAGTCTTGGAAACCACCATCCCACATTTGCTTGATCTCTGCCCAGATAAATCCTTGCAAGTACATAATGATGGAAAGTGAATGCCTTTGATTTGAGGGCTGCTATGTTTTACAGGAGTTTAAAAGGGAAAGTGATGATTTCTGGCATAAATACTGTCTTATATCCTGCATGAAAACAGTAGGTGATAAGGGGATAGAACACTTATCCGTTGGAAAGACAGACTTTTGTGACTGTGGAAAAAATACGGGGGCCTGTTTGCAGCATTCATTAATGTAAAAGAAGTGGAAGTATAACGTGCCCAATATACACAGAATCAGGGTTTCTCTTTGATTAATACAGATTCAGCTGGCTTTGAACAAGCATTCTCCATTAAGGGCAATATTTTTCATCCATTAGGAGACAGTATTTGTCAGTATTTGACTCACCCAGGACCCATGGCAGGATCATCCACTCCACAGTTGTTGGTGCGGGACCTTGCCTGTCCTGCTCTGTGGTGACAATGTGCTGGGAGGCAAGGAGCAGCAGGAACAGAAAGGTCAGGTAGGATGCTGTGTGGCAGATAAACTTGATGAAGGGCTTGCGAATGAAGTGGCCGTAGCGACTCTTAGGAGCAATGAGGTAGCAGAGAGCGAAGACGGGATAGAGTAGACCAATGAAGACACAGGTGATACATTTTCCTCCCCAGTGGCGTCGCCTCCACCCAGGAAACTCATCGTACCACCTGGATGCCAATAGCTGCTGACAGTTTGGCTGAGCTACAAACTTAAAATGAGAGAAGAACAAACAAGAACATTTTACATAATTAATGTACTATCTGAGGTTTAGGTTTGGCTGACAATGTATGAAACATAACTCAGGATATGCAAATATTCTGTGTAATCTTTTTTTGTTTTGCTTGCTGAATCTTTGGCTGCTGTTATACAATAAACATCTCATGTGTACCCCTGATAACCGACTAAAGGTTTAAATCTGTGTTTTGGGACTACCTTGGTCAAATAACACTTGGGTGGAAATAGCAGCATTTGTTAGCAATCTGGAGGTAGTTAGGAAACATATTTTTGTTAAATAATAACTTTTGAATAATCCTAGTGTCACAAAGATGCCTGCAAGTGCTAGCACAATTACACAGGTGCAAACAATAATGTAAAATATAATTTAAAGTCAAAGCATCCAGCAGAAGCCGGTCCTGATTCCCTTACTCCATAGTTTTGTTTCCATGGGAACCACAGATCTCTATCTGTGTTGGAATGAAGCATGAAGCAGAACCGGGCCCATATTTCAATACTTCAGTGACAGAACTACCCTAAAACGTGAGAGGACATGAGAAAGAATTCGAGGGGATTTCTTGGCTGAGGGGAGTAGAAATGGATACTTTTTAATAAGGCTTTTAAATTAAAATATTTCAGATAATAGAAAGTTAAGACAGGAGCCTAAAGCCCTGCTGATTTTCTTATGACTAATAGAAAAGGCAAACCAAATTGACCTGTTAACAATGTCTGAAGCAAAGTCATAGAACTAAATAATTGCAGAAATGTTTAAACATACAGAACATATCTATTCATACCAAACCATGACCAGTTATGAAATGGTAAAGTAAAAAAATGCAGTTTGCGTACTTCAATCGGGCCTTTCAAAGTTTATATGTTCTTCCTCTGCATCTGTCAGCTCTGGGCTCTATGCATTTTAGATCATTCAGTGATTTTAAAGTGACCATAGGAATGAGTGTGAGGGGATTGAGTGTCAGCATGCATGGCTGTGTGACCTTTCCATGAACTGGTGACCCATCCAGCCTACAGGGTAGATTTACTGGCTACAGAAAATAAATGGATGGATCATTCAATTTGTTTTAATTGTTGATGGCAAGCAGGAAATTCTTGGGCTCTTGATTAAACACTCACAGTGAAATGAATGAGGGTAGGCATTACCCAATTAGCATAATAATTTGGAATTAGTTTTATGCTAATGTACCAGAGAAGCCATAAAGTAATACGTTTCTCAAGTGTAACGAAAAAACAGATCTGAATCCATTCTGTGAACTTCCTTCTGACTATACCTTTATACATTTGAGTCATCCAATAGAGCTGCCTTAAACTCTCTCTCTGTTTTTCCTTTCCTGTGAGAGAGTATCCAAACACGACAAACATCAGTGGCATCTCGACCTCCTTATGCCTAAAATCCCTCTTGCTGCAGTAGAGTGCAAAGTTTGCCCTGGGTGACTGTTTAACACAATTCAAGTCCGGGTGGAAAAGTGCTCTCTCCACAAAGTACCTCTAAGTTGTCAACTTTTCACAAGAGCCGGGAGAGTGCTTATTGCTGTGAAAGTACTGTGGATACGTTCTAGCTGAGTGCGGACATGTTTCCCTGCAGCCATTCCTACAAAGAAAGATGTCCTAAAACTTTTCTTTCCTACTTTCACAGACACACAGAGAAGTTCAGATGGACCCTCACTGTCAGCTTTGCTAAGACTTGAAATATGGATTTATATAAAGTCTGTATATTTTTCTGGGTTGTACAGATGACTCCGAGGTTCATTGGGAACATGAACATAAACAATGTTGATTCCATGGTCTTATTGAAGGACATGTATAGAAGGACCTTAAACAGTGTGCTACAACTAATGACAGTTATGTTATATTTTAAAAGCTCATAAGAATTTATCCACAAAGCTTTCAAACGGGACTCAACCTCTTTGAGTTGTGGATGAACTTCCCATTTTTTGTAAACTCAACAAGTAATATAGGAAATTAGAGAATTGAAGAGCAAAAAGAAAACAGGGGAAGATAAAACTCCAACAATAAGATTCCTCTTGTTTGAATGATAAAAAACACAAACATAAGTGCAGAGCAAGGATCTCAAACTCTGCTCCTTTAGCGCTGCTGTCCTGCATGTTTTAGACCTTTCTGGGTTTCAACACACCTCAAATCAATGCACCATAGCACACTTGTGAAGAGATAAATGACTTTTTTTAATAAGGTCTGCTCAGTCTAAATCGGGTGTACTGAAGCAGATAAAATATCTAAAACCTAATTTGAGATCTCTGGTGCAGAGCAAATAGTGGGTGTGCTCATGCTGTGAGGATGTTTCTTGTGAGTGTTAGTTTTACAGTTTCACACTGATGATATCATAGTCTCAGTATCTGTAGTGTGCATTTGCAAATTCACATCGACATAAGTTTGGCTAAGATTAAGATGTTCGCCACATAGAGTGCTTCGTTTGTTAGGGTCCACTAACTATCACTACGATTTTTTCAGGACACACACTTCCAGTGGCCCAGTAAACACTAATTGATTGTTTTATATTTAGGTGTTTGAAAAATGATAAAATTAACTTGGAACTGACAAATTCAGAATGAAGAATTCCATTTATTCTACTATATTGTGACTTTGTTTCTACAAAATAGATATAGTTGACAATAGTTTAGATAACAGTTTAGTCATTGAAGTGAGGTTTGTAAAGGGGAATATTTACTGCAGCGTATCCATAAAAACACTGTACATTATTATTTACCATCTATCAAAACTGTCATTTTCATTTTACTTGTTGCTTTAAGCATGTAGAGATACTGAATTGCAGTTTTCTCCAGATGTCACAAGGGGGCAGCGTGAAACTGCACCATGCAAAATTAATCGCCTGGCGCATCAGGCAGTTTCAAATATTAAAAAGACCATTTGTTTTCACATTTAGTTTTTTATTTCCCTTATCCACCTTTTTGTAAATAAGTATAATTTTAAATGAGTAGTTTAAAAAAGAATAATCCTTTGTTGAAACCCTGAGGGGTGTTACATGAGTAATAGGAATTTTATTGTTTATGATACTTTGATGTACTACAGCATCAAAGCACAGAGCGCACTGTTATCACAGACTGTACGCCTGTGGAGGTTTCTCTTCAGATCATTATGAACTGCCCATGGAGCAATGCAGCGATAAATCTGTAATGCACACAGAAACTTGAGCATGAATACACAATGGTAAATAGGCATGTGTACACACTACACACAGAGGAAGGTTACACGGAGAGCTGTCCTTCATTTTATAAAGGGCCAAAAGTAGGCTTCTCATGACTCACTGCAATACTGACCTACAACCTGCACCATGAAAAACACATCCAGGCTGTGTGAATCCTTGAGTATTTGTCTCCAAAAGTGTTGTTGAACGAATAGAGAAGAGCTCAAACTATTGACAGATGACACGACAGAACATTTACAACAAGATTGTGAGACCAATTAACTGTCCACCTGACTTCTATTGTCTGTTAAAGATCATTAGTAAAAAACAAACAAAAAAACAACAACAAGAGGTCACTATAAATCTCTGCATGTGTGTGTGTGAGTATGAATGTAGGCTTGCTTTATCAAACTGCAGCGTACAGACTCTGACCTTTTCAGGAAACAGCAGCAGGAAAATAGTTTTTCTGCCAGTTTGTCGTTCATCCAGTGTTTTTCATTTGTCTGGTAATTCGTGGTCCAAATATCTAATCCTACTTAATCCTCTACATCTAAAGTGTTCCTTCTTCGAAATAAGAAGTTCAAAAATTCAAGAAAAAAAAGTCGTCAAGAAAGTGAGGCAGTCTTCCACTAATTAAAAGGCTAGTGGGTCAACACCCTGCTTCTCCAGTTCACGTGCCAATATTCTTTGGAAAGATGCCAAACACCTAATCGACAAATATTTATCAGTGTGACTCTGTTTGGTTGAGAGAAAATGACTGTACATGTCAGAATGTGCAAGTAAATTGATGAATGTGGCTTTTAGTTTAGTGCAATTTGAATGTCTCATAAAATGACAGAAGTCTATTCACAATTTGCATGGAGATCATCCAGAGGGCATTTCCCAGGGTCAATGAAGTATTTGCAATTTTAACGACTCTAATTCCAACCCACAAATACAGTTTAATGGGTTCTTCTTTTGCTCATGTTACAACCATAGCAAAAGCGGGTTTAGTCATTTTAATGTCTTCTTTAATGTCCTCTTCATCTTGCACATTTTACTTACACAGCTGGTTAATTATCATGTAGTAAAATGAGTGTGTGCTACATCTAATACAGGATCAATGTATGAAAGTAAAGGTGTTTTAACGGAATGTTGGACACAAATGAAATAATCAGTGTTTAGAAGTTTGTCCTCCAGTGGTTTCAGAGACAAAGGTTAAAACCATTGTTTTCATAACTGCTGTCCCCAGACAGACTATTCTTATTTAACTCAATAAAACAAAGCAGAAATCCAAGTTTGCTGCAGTAAAATAGCCAAACTAAACCTAATTAAAAAACAAGGAGATTATGTTTACTGTAAAAAAAAAAATTTTTTTTTAGATATATGACCATTTCTTATCTTACAAAAACACAAACAGCATGGTAACTTTATCTTTAAAAAGATTAATATGCCAAGGTAGCTAGAACATTTGTTTGAAAAGCAAGCCGGATGGATTTTCATCTACAGCATGACAAAGTCCGCTCCATCAAAGTCCTGGTGCAATTGAAGGATTTTACAGATTACATGAAATAGAGGGGCATGTACAGTTATATCTCCTGGATAAGTAAAGTGAAGAAGACAAGCAAAGAAGCACAACTGTGCCAAAGGCAGCAGGAGGGATGTTGGCCAACAGTGCACACACTAAAGGATTTCCTGCTCAAAACAGAGAGATTTGATTAGATTAAAGAGAACTGGCCATTATCATGCCCACATGTACACTTGAACAATCCTCAGTTTCCCTTCAGTGACTCAAACGCTCATGAGAGGTCTCATTGAGAACAAATAGCCGTGTCACAAATTGAGACTTGTGCACGTTTGAGTCTGCTTTGACAGGCAAGTGGATCTCCCAGCAAACGATTGATATTACTATACCTTTATATTCTATGTCTACACTAAGATAATCTATTTAAGCCATTTCTTTACCTTTAGCCATCCCGCCACTTTGCACCTACACTGACAACTGTGCTTTCCTCATAGTCAATAAACTTAGAGCTGTAGTTCATGCTCTGGTAAAAGGAATTGATGGGAGTTGTATTATTTTACCTGCAGTGACAAAGTCATTATTGGGGAAATGTACCATGAAAGCACTTGGACACGAACAGCCTAAGTTTACTCTCTAACTGACATATATTAAATGTATGAATCTACCAATAGATGTACCAGAATAAAGTTGTTTGCATAGTAATCATTCTACCCAGAGGTAAAGCTTTGTATCTTGTTATATACATGACATCACTAGACTTCAACAGAGAAAATGGTTTTGGAGCAATTACGTGTAAACTATTTTCCATAATAATGTTTTTATAGAAATGCATTTCAGGTAATTTATTCAACGTTGGAAATCATTCAGTGGGAAAATCTAAAATGAACTTTAATCATTGCTTGAATGTTAAATGCTTCCACAATGCATTTAATTGCAGCAGTTAGAAATTGGTCCAAGAGGAAACTCTACAACTGTAACCTTTTCTTGGATCAGTGTTAACATTAAAGGAAATGCTGTCACATTCGGAGAGCTTTTGACCAGTCACAATTATTTTCTTAATAGAATACATTTTGTCATTTGGTTTTTCAAAATGGGCTTGAAAAAGATAATATAATGAGAAAAGGGTCCTCCATTAATTTGATTTACAACCATTGCAAACATTTCTCTGATAGGTTTATGGTCTAAGTTGCTACACTGTACTCTCTTGCCATCCATTTATCTGCCATTTTCCCTACCCACTTAGTCCTACTCAGAGCCGCTGAAGGCAGGTGCCTAGTCCAGCAGCCACTGGGTAAGAAGCCAAAGAAGCATGACTCATGAATGCTTACACTGACCTAACATGCATGTATTTAGACAGTATGAAGAAGCAAGTACCTGCAGGGAATCCACAGGAAGAACTTACAAATTCCCCATAGAATGCCCCCACTCAGGATTCATAATAGAATCCTCAGTTATGTGAGGTGGTTGTGCTAACGACTACAACAAACAAACAGCAGACAGACATGTCAAGATCAGATAAATTGACTAATTTTCTACAACCTCAGTTAGCCGGATGAAATAATACTACTGTATTTATTTAGCTGTCTTGATACAGAAACCATCTGCATCTAAAGTAACAATCTCTGTGAGCTCTCCATGTGTTTTTCTCCTCTGTGAAAGAATCTACAACCAAAGCACATAAAACCCAGCTGAGTCTCACATCTGAGAGCTTACACTTCATATTAATCTAACATCGTTATAGCTAGCAGTGAGGCTTATGAGAAGAATTTGGCTTAATGTAGCAGAAACTTCTGGCTTGGCAGTACTCTTGAAACACTGGAGTGTGAACACCGCCTTGGGCACGCGTCATTGAATCATTACAGTATCATGAGGCAATCCAAGGGAAAGCATATATGATATGAGTCCTCATTGGGCAGTTTGGAATGCTATAACTGTGATACTGCAGACACACAGCTTTGCAGGTGAAAGAGGGGGCAGGTGCATTGAGTTGTGTGATAGATGACAGGATGATGGCCAACAGAATAACATCCCCTCCTCTCTCCTATTCCAATAACAATCACAACAGAAGACGAAAAAACACCCTACCATTTCTGTTTCCTTCTTCTTTAGTCCACCAGGGAAATAATGTTATAATTGTTGTTTAAGTATCAGAGGAATCAGTCACACCCACTCTTACATTCTGCCTTTCTTGTTCAAGTCCCTTTTATTGCCAGTTCTGTCTTGTGATTGCCAAAAGAATGCATCAGCCTTACCTCTTTTTGGTGGTACTTGATAGCTAGTTTAAGTCTTGCAAGATCATTGTTGCCCTCCTCTTCCAACAAATTGGTGTCATCTCTGTAGTTGAGGATCATTTCCAACTCTCTGGAACTCCTGGTTTGATCCAGGAGATCTTTAGCAAACTGTTTGCATTGCTGATATAGCTCCTCATACTCAGATTTGAACTCATTCTCTACCTTAAAGAGACAAATAAAGACAGAATAAATATACAATAACACTGGAGGAAAAAAAATTGGCCTCTGATTATTTTAATTAATGATGATCCTTCAGGGATTGGAGTTGTTGAATTAAACACCCTCCTTAATGGTTATTTTGAATAATTTCTTAATCCAAGATGGTAAAATGATCTCATGAACTAAATTATGATCAAGTATGCATATAACAATGAATGCAAATTTGCACATCTCCCCAGGCGCTTATCGAAATTAATCTTCACTTTAATGGCAACATTAGCAAATATATTTGTCTGTAGTAAAATAAAAAAAAGTCTCATCATCTATTTGACTTAAATAGAATGATTTTTGAATTAGTAGTAAGTATTCAACAATAGTTTTGACAACATGTCTTCTCAGACATGGAAGTCAGCATTTGAAAGCATTTAAAAAGTTTTCTTCTGAGAAATCTTTTATCTGTTAAGCCTTTTTAATAAAAAATGGGAAATAATAAGAATATAACATTTTCAAAACATGCTCTGATTTAATAAGAACTTTTTAAAATTAAAGTTGTTGCCACAGAGCAATGTCTGTTACGTGTCACCAAGTGAATTGAATGCAATTATGAAAGGAAACATATTGTAGTTAATCAATATACACAATGTCCATATCCAAGCTCTTTAGACAGAATCTAATTTTGCCATGAAATGTATTTGCAAACGTTTTGCTGGTTCTGCGGTCCTCACCTTGCTGAGCTCCTGCAGCTCCCAGCTCAACCTGAACGCAGTGAGGAACGGATCCTCACTTGAGAGTGCAATTAGTGAGGGACTCGACAGGGCTTTGTAGATGTTGAGGCGGGAGCGCGAGTGCCGCAAGCTGTCCACATCTGAACTAGACACGCACTCCACACAGTTGCAGCGCACCTGCAACATCAAACAAAGCATGAACACATTTTAATGAGGCTTCCCTGTATTTAGTGAAGCATCATGTGGCGGTCTGGCAAGGCAAGCACTAAAATCTGTCATGTCTGGGTTTAATCTCAGATATAAAAGGTACCCCTTATAATTCATGTGGGTATTTACTTTTTTTTATGAATATCTTATATCGTATGTAAATGGGATTAGCACAGATCAGTTTTAAAATGGTTATATGGTGTATCTGGTTTACCCACCTCATGTGGCTGTGGCATGGACACGCCTTTCTGCACCAGAAGTTTAATAATTTCATAGTTGTTGGTGTGTGCAGCAAGGATGATTGGAGTGATGTCAGGGGTGAAGTCAGAGTACTGCTTGTCCAATAAGATAGGAGGAACCTTTTAACAGAGGTTAAAAAACAAAACCTTAAGTCACCCACATTTATTGACGGAAGGTTTCAAAGCAACACAGTTCACCTTGGCCTTTAATTCATTGCCGATTTATAGTCCTCTTTTCTTCTGCTAACAGGTTGCTCAGCGCATATTAGAAGCAAATGGTCACCACAGAGCTTAAAAGATTTTTTACTGATCTCTGAGTGGAGTTCAGAGGCCCTAAATATGAAATGATAAATAAATAAAGAGGATCAGAATAAATAGGATTAAAAAAACTGTTTATGGCATTGGCAGTTGTAAGAAAACTACTGAAATAGCTTTAAAAATAAAATTGTGTAGATTAACAAAATGGCACCAGTATCAAGGTTGAAAACGCTTCTGGCTGCAGCTCATAGAATATCAGTATTCCACATGTTTCTGTGGGGTAAATGCTCAGAAAATAGCAAATCCAAACTCTAACCCTTATCACCCATGGCAGATAAATCCAATTTCCCCATGATTCAGAAAGAAAACACGGCTGTGGGCAGTGGACTAGTGAACTGGATAGTTTTTTTAATCTTTTATCCTTATTTATTTTTTATATGTCTTATCTTAATTGAATTAAACAAATTGGGAGCCACACTATACCTTCCTTTAAACAATATTTTTAAAGTGTATTAGAGTGTAATATTCTTAAAAAGAGGTCTTCTGCATTCTGTCTCCAGACTGTATTAGGACTGATTTGAGATCATTCTGTTCTCATATATGCTGGACATGGCTTGACTGTCATGCTGAATCAAGGTAGGCATTGCTGAAATTAACCAAAAATTATTGTCAGCAGTAATGGTGTCTTCATAATAAGCAGGTAACCAAATAAAAATGCCAGTGAACTTTGCCCTCTTTAGCCTGGAGGATGGTGTGCTCATGACCACAGGAATTTATCTTCATCTACCACAGTGTGCCATTGTGTAGCATTTCTGATAAGTAATATTGTGTTTGGTAATTTTGGTTACTGCTTATATTAGTCAATTCTGAAACTTCATTATAATTATTATTATTATTATCATCATTTGTTTTTTTCATTATTCAAACTCCAGAAATCCCAATAAATTATTTTCACTCAAGTGGGGATAGAGATTAAATGCCGTTGGCCCATTTCAAATGACTTTTTCAAAATTAAAATAATGATAAGACTGTGTGTGATGATGACCTCCTCCATTGTGTTTTCACAAGCTTCATTCTTGCTACTCGCAATACTTTAGTGCCAGTGTCAAGTGTCAGCATTTTAATTTACATGCTGAGAGCTTCACATTGTTTCAAAACTGACGTATTGTAAAGGAGCTCCATAGTGTTTAAAATGTTCAGTTAAAAAAAATGTTTATGGCAATCATCTATGAGGGAAAACACATTTCATATAATATGGTTTCCCAATAAGTGATTAATGATGAGTTTAATTAGCTTCTTCTTTTGTGACATACTTTAAACCAAAATAAATCTAGTTTCAAAAGACGAATGAAGAAAAAGAATAAAACAAGATGTGGTGATATGCTGTTTAGTGTAGAAGCCTCTCTCTGCTGAGTTGATTTGTTCTGCTTGTGCACATCACTTTTAATAATGCCACTAAAATATTTTTGGATTGGCATCAGATGTCTTTTGGAATATCTTTGCAAGGTTCAAAATAGAAAAACAATTTAATATCAAATACATTTAGCGGGTAACGGTGAGATCTTCCAGTTAAGAAAAGATCTAAGGCAGATCTAAGGAAGGGGTAGATTCACTTTAAAGTCATCTTTTTAGTGTAGAAGAAGAAATAGGATCAGTATAATGGCCTCCCACAAAGAAGAATTTGAAGGAATCATATCTTTAAAAAAGTGTTATCATCTATATTGCATCAAAGTCTTTTTTAGCAGATTGACCCATATTATTGTCATGGTTTACGCTCAAAGTGGTCACCACATAAAAAGGAGTAGGGCCACGTCTGAAATGTGTCTTCTTTCGCAGAGGAGGGTGAGCTAATAAGCTGCAGTATATACTCTGTTTTTCACGTGGGAGGAGAAAGGGACTTTAAATAATCTACATCAAACAGCCTTGGCCTGTAACCAAGCACGAACCAGTAGGAGAGCAAACTGGTTGATGTGAAGTTATGATAATTGCAGTGAAAAGAGATGAAATTACTGCCCACTCCTCTGTGTTATGCATATGTGTTACTCATATTAGAACGAGGCTTCCACCATCAGCATATTGATTGTACTGTATTAAACATGCAACATTTGCATCTGCAAAAGCTCAGTATGCCTCCACTTTTCTTCCATTGTTGTCTATTTTGAGCCTCCTCGTTTGTTTTCACTTGTCATCCTCCAGTGTCGCAGACATAAAGCTGGAGCAAAATGGGACACGGAGCAGTTCTGTTTTTTGCAACAGTGTTAAAAATAACCTCAAGTCTGGAATTCAAGAAAGCGTGACTATGCTTAATTCACATCCCAAAAGGTGTTATGTAGGAGGTATATCCTTACATAACATAAATTCATATGAGAATAGTACTCCCAAAAAATACCTTTGTCATTGAGAAACACTGAGAGCTCCAGCTTCTGCGCTCCAGGCACATTCTTATCTGTACTCACAGGATAAAACATGGAGCTGTTCTAAATTCTGATATGCATGCCATCCTCAGTGGAAGATGAATAGGGCGCAATACTTAATAATACATATATATAACACGTTATTGGGACATTTTGGAAAATACATGGACAACAATGCACAATTCATCCAAAAGACAAATAAGACTTGCAACATTAATAAATCTCTCGCTGCAGATAGGATGAAGTTTACCAAGACAGCTTTTTAATCTAATCAATTGGCCTCTCTTGTGGCAATTTGGTTGCACTGGAGTGATCTATTTTCACATCATGCTGATGTGACATGAAGAAATGTTATCTTACAAATATATTAAGTTAAAGAGGTAAAATGTGAGCTGGCTGATGTCACATAAGGAGTTTTGATTTGTTAGCCTTTTGGTTTATTTTTCTTTCCCTAAACTTTTAAAACCAGTTTGAACTGTTGCTTTTGTTTGTGTTTCTCTCTCTTTTCTAATATATCAAACCACTTTTTCCTCAGTTCTTTTCATTATTTTCCTTTATTCTATGAAAGCCTAATGCACTGGTTCTATCAGGACACATTAGGAGCAGCAGGAACGCGTCCCCATCGGTTGACTGATGAAGCCAAAAACACATTTGTTCCTTTGTGGTTTATGGTGCATTACTGCTAATAGGAAGTAAAAGAGAAAGGGAGGGAAGCCTGAATGCATGTGCTTGTGTTCCAGTGTCTTAAGTGCCTGTTCGGCAGGGACAAGATATAATATAGGAATAAGAATGGGTTTTTTCTAGTGGTCTGACTATAGCAATTAGGCTCTAAAAACGCACTCTCATCTTCACCAAAAAAGCGCCTTATCTGTGCACAGCTGCACTCTCAAAGTACTCCGATAATTCTTGAAATTAAACAAGAGCAGGAGGTATGCTATAATTGTGTAGAAATGATACATAATCTTGGCTCTCAGTGAACGTATGCATCCCGCTCTCTGGCTGAAACAGCACTCTTGTGATTTAGATGGATCAAAGAGGCCGCTGGTGTTTTGGTACGGGATCCTAACAAATCTAGGTATCCATAAATTCCAATAATATGAATGTAGACATTAGTAAATCATTACATAGAACAAAATCTATCAGAAATGGATTTGGGCATGTAAAGAATGTCAATGATCAGATTTGCTTGTATCTCAGCAGACCACCTTCTGCTCTATTCGATGACTTTTACTTCACAGATAAATCACTTCTAAACTGAAACTCCCCCCAGCCATCCCCTCCGTCCTCTCCTCACCTGCATGCCTCCACTGGGCTTCTTATGATTAAGCAGCAGCTCCACGGCTCCCACCACCTCCTTGCGGATGGCGTGCAGCAGGGCATCGCCGACATAAACATTGAAGCTCAGCAAAAGCTCAATAATTTCCAGGTTCTCATTCTCAATGGCAATCAGCAGAGCTGTGCGTCCGAGGGGGTCAATGCAGTTGATGTTGATCTTGAAGTAGATCTCTGCTTCCTGAAAGTAGAAAGTAGCAACTGACAATCAAGAAGATGTGCTTTCAGTAGTTACTGTGGGTCTCTGGTGGATAAATAAATAAACGAAAAATATAGACTGATAAATCAGTCTGCATATTTTAATCAATAACACCCACAAGGAACAAATGAATAAAGCATTACAGCCTTCACCATGGCCATGTGGCCGTGGCCATGTGGCCGTTTTGGGTAAGAAATGGTGGTCATAGCTGTAATATGTTTTAACTAATCCATTATTTCTTTCAATATTCAGCAATGTTTCTGCCAACCTCAGTATCATTATAGAAATAAATACAAATGAACGTTCTTATTTTTTTCTATAACTCTTTTTTCTTTTGGTTAATGTTTTTTTCTTTTGCGGTCATATGCTGCAAAAATTACGTCATTTTGACCATTTGTTTAATCAAACTAAAGTTCTAGCAAAATAACATAGCTTTCATACTCATGTCAACTGTCTTTCTCTCAGTAAGAAATGTTTATTTCTAGTTGTGAATTTGTTGTTGACTATTCGACTATGACTATTTCTTTCACGACACATTAATGAAGAAACTGAGGGGCATAAAGGCTGTTACTGGTCTGATATCAATTCACGTGGTTAACAGGAATCCCTCATCTTCCTGTAAAAATAATATGTTATCATGGCTACACATATTTCCCACAGTCTGCTAAAAGTTTTTAAATAATTCAATGTAATCCTTCATTATTCAGGCTCATTCTATTCAAACTCACTCTATTCATTCATCAAGTCATTAATCACTATATCCACTCTTCCATGTAAATATGAGCGCTCACGCACCTCCAGAGCTTGTTTTACGCTGGCATAGTCCCCCTTTTCAACAGCCCCAAGGTAGGCCTTTTCCAGAGGGGAGAGCTCCGACTCAGCCCGCACGATCCTGAGCGGGATGCGGTCCCTGTATGAAGAGCTGTCAGTCCGCCGGTAGTACAGCTGTGACATGGCCCCGGCCTGCAGGTCACCACCGCCCTAACACGGCTACAGCTGCTGCCAGCCTGAGGGAGTGTGCACTGGAAGTGACAGGGGTGAAGGCGTTAGAAATAAAGAGTGAAGTTGTTGGTTCAGATCTTTGCAAGTGAGAAAAAATGATGAAATAAGGAGACAAAAAAACTGAGGAGGATGTCACACAGAAGGAGTTCATAACATGATATAAAGTAGTAACGTAAAGTTTCTGAACCCTTTAAAACCTTATGTCAGCATAACTATGACAACGGCACATGCTACTTGGTTAAATACCGAGGCAGTGTATCCTATATTGTCTCACAATATCTAGATAAACTGATGTTCACAATGGAAGAGATGCACAAAAATGTAACTGTTGTTAAGTTGCTTTGTTTTCAAAACTCTATCAGACTAAGAGGATAAGGGAAAATGCATGTCAGAAAAAATAGATTAAAAACTAGATAAAATATATTTTGAAAAATGATAGATACCAGATGTCTAAAATGAAAAAGGTACATGAAAATAAAAAAAATATACAAGTTTTTACTTAATGGATTCCTCTCTTTTTTCTTTCCACTGTCTCAAAGCAATAACAGTTATATTAATGAGCAGCCCACTTGGATGAAATGATACAAGATTCCTTAAATAAATGTGTTCAAAAGCAACAGATTTAGCACCATGCTGAACAGTTAGTTGATCTGCATCTATATTTCAGAAGTGTTACACACTTTATTTTCACTATTCAATTTTTTCTTCCTGGTGTAAAAGTTTATTCTTTTGGTCCAGAGTCAATCTTTCAAGTTCAGTTTTTTTTTCACAATAATATGGGTTTACTGACGGAGACTTTTCATTATCTACTAAGTAGCTGAGTTCAAGCCCAAACTTTTTTCCCCTTGCTTTGTTTTTCACTTGCTGTTCACTTTTTGTCTCACTTGACAGGTAGAACAATTTCCAAATAAGTTTGGGTGTCAAAACAATTCTGTTGCCTTCAAGGAACCATCTCGGTTCAGTTTTGAAAAGGATTGGGGTTTTGTTTTAAAAACACCACTTCAGAAAGTCAATCAAAGACAGAGGAGAATGCCAATACACACATCTAGTAGCCTTATCCGGGACATTGACTTTTTAAAATTTTAATGAATTTAATTAGAGGTTGTCATCTGGATTCCATTTTTTACCTTTCCCTTATAAGGGTCTTGACAAGACTAAAATATATGGTGCCATCAGAAAGACAGCATGCTCACGGGGACATCCGATTCACACGCCAATGCCACAGGTTCATCTTGTGACCATATAGCGTCTTGTTGCCATGCAATAGTATTTTTCCAAGCAATGTCACAAGGGGGCTCTCTAGTTTGTGTTCCTAAGCAACATTATTTCAAATCAAGTCTCCCATCTTAAACAAAAAAAACTGTTACGATATCTTCTTTCTGCATAACTGCAGGCATTGCACTCTGATATTATCCTTATGACAGCCAAGAATGAAAAAACAATTCTTGAAAAAAATCCATTAAGGGGCTGTTCCATTGAGTGATTCGCTCACTGCTGGAGTTAGTCAAGGGTTTTCAGACATAGTTCAAGACGTTGGGCATTGTGATATTGTAAAATTGGTTTCTTTTGTGTAATGATTTCACTCTATAATAAACATTTATTGAGCCAGCTAAGACGCATATTGACCAGTAATAAACATTGGTTCCATACGGGAAGTTATTCTGATTCCAAACATATTCTCACATTCAACATGTCTTTCCATATGTCACAGAACAGAATTATCTACAAAATGCAGACATTGTAAAGTTCAGTATGATGATAAAAGACTTGTGTGGCTGATTCATATGCATCTGTGTGCAATATGCAATATGCAACGCTCTGGAAAAACTAATTATTTCCAACCACACTTTATAAAATCATCACATTGTCTAGAAATAGAAATAGAAGAAAAATACAAATATAATCTATTACTCAAAGACTGCAGTATTTATAGCTGCAGAAGCAAGCCCACACTGAGCAAAAAACAGATAGAAATACTCCGAAAGTTGCTGTGAGAGGAGCCACTTATAGACAGACCATGCAGCACATTTAGAGAAGCCTGAGAAGGGTAAAGCAATCATAAAACAGCCTAGTTTCATCAGTTAACACAAAGTCTTTGTAAACTAGAAAGTTCTGAAAGGATATTTTGACAAATGTGTTGTTATATTTATAATGTTAGCGAGAAATGCTGGGATGGATCCGTAAAATTGGATAGAGAACCCCACATGTCGGGGAAACCACATGAAAAGACCATTTTCTTATTCCCTCTGGATTGTTGTTTTTCTCTTTTAGAAATGGCATAAGAATAATCTATTTTAACTTCTCCAGTTTAGCCTCAGCAGATGTGAGGCAGCAGAGTGGATGTGGATGCAGTACCTGCTTGTTGATATGTTGGTGCCCTGAGGCGCCAGGTCGTCGTTATCTCTTTTTTCAGTCTTGTCTGCATTCTCCACACTTGTTTCTGGGTAGTTGGCCGTTCATCCGCTTCCAAAACCAGATTCGGTCCGTTGTGATTAAATTATTTCCGCTTTCTCTTACGAGGAGAAGAAGACAGCCGCATTCAGTTCACCGCGCAACAGATCCTGAAGACACAAACATGCAAGTTTTTCTCGGTAGATCACACCTCCTAATGCAGCGCCTAATGTTCTTCCTCGGGGTTAACTCTTACCGATCTTTTTTTCTTTTTTTAATCTAGTCGACTTAGTCCACCTGTTGGGGGTGATTGGGGGGAAAGCAGCGCCTCCAGAAACGCGTCCAGATGCCCGGCAGGCGGTCTGCGGAGCGCTGCTGCAGACTGGTCGTGCGCATTGGGAGACGCACGGAACACTGTGGCACTGCAAGAGGGAGAACAACCATCTGAACGAGCAACCCAGACAGATATCCATCCTCACTTCGAAAAGCATCAAATCCACTCATATCCGCATATTTACATCACAATGTGACAGGAAAATTCACGTATTAAAAAAGGAAAAAGAACCAAGCATGTTCTTTTGTAAAAAAATAAAATAAAAGACATTTCCACCTGAAACCACATAAAAAAATGATCGTCTCTTGCTTTTACTGAATTCACCCTGCTAACATGAGTCCATTTCTGTTAAAGGCCCTGTTGATGTTGTAAATTCTGGTTAATAGAGTGTCATGTTGTTGAACGTCCCATGACATGTTTATAGGGTCTCCTGCCTAGACTCATTTCTTGTGTGGGTCACAGTGTGAATGTTTGAGTGAGTTTAGGTTGGCAGAATGTGCATTTGGACTGCAGGTCCAGTCAGGAAAACATGTCGCAGGGAACAGATTTTTGGCTGCAGAGGCTTCTTTTATTAGTCAGTGTCTGCTCCTGTCAGGATGGAGATCCTGCATCTTTTGTTAGAGCTGACTTCAGATTTCAGAAGCTATTTATCTGAATAGTAGGTTTATTCATTCTTAATATATATTCATTTTGTACAAAATACGCTAATTCTAAGTTGTGTTCCCAATAACAACAAGCATGATGTTTGTTAACCTGGAACATTTCCATATTCCTTATCGACAAATAGCCTATTTGAAACTTTAAACATGAGTGGATCAGCAGAAGTAGTTCATTCCATCATTCCTGTCTGGGGTCTGTTCATATCTACTCAATGCAATTTGACCCTCAGACAACACAAGTCTGGACATTTTATCTTGACAAAAGCCTACAAAATGATGACTAAATTAATTAACTATATTTGTGATGTCTATCTTATGTTTTAGGTTTTTGGTGTATGATATATGATATACATTTTTTAGTAAGGTTTAGGTACTGGTTTATATCCATAACAACCTGCTGGCATTTTCAAAATGTGTTGAATTGCAAACTAAATAGACACCCCATAATTCTGTTGAAAATGTCTGCCCAACATCCCACAAAACACAAAATATCATCAGTTCTAAAAATAGCCCCAAAGCTAATCGCTCCCCCATAAAAGAGCAATTGAAAAGGGACTGATTGAAACAGAAACTTCAACAGCATCTAATGATTTGTGGAGGGGAACAGCGAGTCATTTGACGATTACCCTTCCTTCATTTGGACTGATTTATTCTCTTTTTCAAAGGTACCTCCTGACAGCACAGACATTTTGTTCTAATGAAGGTAACGTGTCTTGCACTGGTTGATTGAATTTCTCCTCGAGGGAAAACAGACTGAGTTCTGCCGCAGAGGGGATTTTGACGCAGAAGGCTCCTTTTCTATTTTTATTTAGGGGTTGTCTGCTGAGAGTAAACACCATTGAACCAATGAACCTTCTCTCTTAGTAAGAAAGTAGCAGAAAAATATAGTATTGAAAAAGACAGATCCAGGGCTTTGGTGTTAGTTGCGACGATAACGCTGCTGTTGCAGATCCTGAACTTTATGTTCAATCCTTGTAGTTCTTTATTGTTTACTTTTCACCCATAAAGAAAATCTTTGCAGAAGCCCATTTAGGAACAACCATGCAGCTTTGTTGCTTAAGAGTTCCTTGATATTCAACAGATGGTGCAGTTCACATCAAGCTATGAGGAGGCTGTGGAGAATGTGGGGCAGACTGCTTCAGCAGCTACAGAGCAAACAGGCAGCCTCTCCCTCTGCAAAATCTAACATGCCCGCGATTTCAATATGAGAATCCAGTTGGCAGTGACAGCTCCCTGCACAGCTCCATCTGTGTCCTGCGTCTCTCCCCTTTTTTCTCTTTCCTGTCTCTCCCTCTCACACTGTCACATAGCCGCAGGTGAAACCCCTTTTTGACAAAAGCTTGACAAAGATTCGGACTGACTTTCTTACAGAGGTCCATGTCAGTTTCCCTTTCACCTTGAGGGAAATCCGTGGCCAACCTGATCCAGTCCAGAGGTTCTGAAGAAAATCGATCACCCTTTCAAAAAATCACACTGAACAATATGGACGGCATCAGTTCAAGTTAACATCACCATTATATAACTCACAGCTTCTCATGACTCCTTTCTTCTCTGAATGTATCTGTGGGGGGTGCACTGTGTCT